GGGGGGTTCGAAAGAACATCAAGTTGTTCCTGTTCTATTTACATCCGTAACACAAGTACAAACTAAACGGATAACTGTTTGATAACACAGCAATTTATATGTTGTACATTTTCTGTACAAGGCAAGGTCACAGCGTCGAACCAAGCTGAGCCTGGGGAATCCCCGAAACATCTAGTCTCACGATAACGATTCACTAGACTATCGACGACAAGGGAGAGGGAGAGGATGGAAGAGCCTGGTCAGGGATTGGGGGAGGGGAGGGTGTTAAATATTCATTGATTATCTCAGTGGTTAAGGCACTTTAGTGGTGGCTCCATCCTCAGAAGTAGAAATCGCCTTCAATTTAAAATAACTGATTAATGAAAAGCAACAAACACGCACCCCAATAGTAACCATTCATCTCATGCTCTGGTAATATAAACCTTTTCATTTCTTTCCTTTTATTTCTAACTTTGTTATTTCTTCAGAAATATAGAAGCCACTAGATTAGTATTTTATTGGCCTGTCCCACCAGCTGTTGACATCATCTAGAGAACGAATAGTTAATTTATGATTGCTGCCATTTTGAAACGTCTGGTTTGTTCACCATCGGCGGTTTCTACAGTTTCCAGTTCAATTCAATGTAGGTGTTTTTATGCCGCCCCCCCCTGCCCCACACACACACTCACACACACACACACACACACACACACACACACACACACACACACACACTCACACACACACACAAATAAGATCATTTAGAATGCAGACTTCGACCATGCCTATCAGGGCCAACCCAGGCTAAGAGGGACTAGCTTTCCAGCAGAAATCCCGAGGTATTCGATAACAATTTCCCTCACAGGGAAGTTGAACCCGGGTTTTGTGCCTGCAAAGGCGATGCACCTAACAGCTAGACCACAAATGCCGGTTTTGAAGTTTCCGACAAGGACGCCCACCAACCTGTATAGGCAGACTCCCAAGGGTACCGTATGCCATCGTACCCTGTCCTGGCGGCGAAGAGCTTCGCGGAGCGGAGCGTTCTGGCTCTCGTTCCCGTGATCACACGTCCCAGGTCGGAATGCAAGACGGTTATTGCAGGGAACATCCAGGTGTCCTGGTCCCAAAACACGTGACCGTTGTAATCCTGCAAAGGATTCGAGGGCAATAATAGATTAGGGAACCACATTATTTTGTGAATCCACTCATGTTGCTGTTTATAATCCAGGCTGGTTTTCTCAATTTTTTAAAAAGTGTGCCATTCGGGAAGCCGTTATTTAAATTGGTATACAACTGTTAAGGGAACAAAAATATTTCTCGAAACCTATAAAGCACATTTAAAAAATAGAAACCTAGTAAAGTCTTGAGTCAAGAAATCTACATGGAAGGGAAAAAAATTACAATTATAAAAACAAACCTCAATAGAGAATCAAATGTTCTTGTTGTATTTACATGCGTGACATAAGTATAAAATAAACAGATATCTGTGTTTGAAAATAAAGCAATCTATTTCTGTACATTTAGTAACCTGCATAATCAATCATTGACTTGAACAAAAAGGCGGAGATTATCGTTTCAGCAAAATCTCTACTGATAAGGTACCCAGATATGGCGTCTGATAAGGTACCCAGATATGGCGTCAAATGTAACAGGAAATCAGAGGCCTAGGGAAATCTGAAGCACCTCCGCGAAATAAATTATTGACACACTACTGTGACGTCATAACCATATATTTTGGGGGGGAGTTCTTTGTCCCAGTAGGAAGAGAGTTGTCCCATTTGACCCCTACCCTGCACAGACTCGCTATTTATAGAAACACAAAATACAAGCTCGCATCCATGTTTGCAGAATTTGTAAACTGCGATAAAATGGTTGAACTTGTGTTCATATAATCTGGCCTTGTTTATTTTACCACGAAGTAAACATAATATTACCTAGATTAATCTTGTGTTTTACATTTCATGATCTTGTTAAACATGGGTCGTATACATTTAGAGAAAGGAAGACATGAAAGAAAGAAACAAATGCACAAACCCAATGAACTGAAAACGAAAAAACACAAAAACAAAAAAAAACACCAAAAAATATATAAATAAATGATGTTTAGATCTTTTTAAAGTATGGGTCAACAATCGTGTAATCAATATTGTAAATTTGCTTGGTGTCACCTTTGCTATTGCTAAGCAGGCTCCTATCTCAGTAGGCAATGACTGAGTGACTCCTTAGCGTCAGCGACAGTGCAAAGGGGGTTAAAGGGTTGATGAACGTAGTCGATGGCGGAAACAGATACAGGAGAGAAAAGAATGGGGTCAAAATAGGAAAGAAAGAAAGAAAGATTGAATGAAAGAAATACCTTCGTATGTTCTCCATGCGCCAGTCCGCCAGGAGAGAGGCCCACAAAGGGCCACTTAGTTTCTCCGCCATAAAAGGGGAGAGAACTAAAGATATAATAAAAGCTGGCGTAGGTAAGTTTTGCAACGCTTGTGTCCCCTTGCACGTCGATTCTGCCTCGACTCCAAACCTTGGTCCATTCCCTCACGTGACTCGACAAAAGGCTTCCGGCTTGAAACATCTTTACCGCTGAAAGGTGCAGTGATAAAAACCCGGTAGTTAAGAGAAGGTAAGTTTACTCTTGAGATCGTTTTATTTGCAGCAGACATAAACAAAGCCTCATGACCGCTTCTGGATGTCAACAACTTCATTTAATTTCTACCTGCCTCAAAGATCGCTCGGATTCTTTTAATTCTAAATTCCTCGAAAATAATAAAAAGAAGATGCAATTTGTCTGGGGGTTTATGGGGGGATGAAGGAATAGATTAGCTTGCTAGTCAAGAATAAAAAAGAGACAGGTAGACAGTTTGGTAATCAATGGGCGGAACTTAAAAAGGAGGAGGAGGATGAGGAGGAGATGGAAAGTGAAGAAGAGAGAGGGAGAAGCAGAGACAGGTAGGCTTTAAAAAAGGGGCGGGGTGGAAGGAAGAGAGAGAGAGAGAAAGAGAG